CACGTCCATAATCATCTCCCGCCCGGCAGAAGTGTTGTTCCTCCCGGTGGTTCCCACGTTGTCGTGCCCGGAGGCCCGGCCTGAGATCGGGTTACCTGCCGGATCAGCCCGGGATGAGGCAGTAATGTTAAACTGTCTGTAAATGAAGGCATCATGTTCTCACCGATCGTGCAACAGATAGAACAGGCGTCTCCAAGCAGATATAGGGCGTCAGATTGTGCTGTACTCGTCTGCTCACTTGTTTTGAACGTCTCTTTTCCATTCAGCGAAAATACAATTTCACAGACGTACACAAACAAGACAAACACATCATTTGCTCAAAAATAGTAAAAAAAAATAATAAATTTAGACTTGAATATCAAATAACATGTTACAACCCCTACGTGGTATACATAGGAAATATATTAGAGGATGTCCAGACGATATAAATCCCTCAAATGATTGTAAAAGCACATTCTCATCCCATACTACACACTATTGTATTAGGTATATTGGTCTTATGGAACTGTAGTTATGTACTAGTAGATGTACCGGGTACAATTGTTGTGCAATAGATAAACTTAAAAACTGTTCCTGACTATTTCATTTCAATTTTACAGGTTAATAGGGGTGAAAAAGAAGACCATAGGTCATACCCGTGTTTCAGCAGAGTAACATGTAACATGTCTTGTTGTCGTGCAGGAGATTACCTGGAGTTGTGTCAACTGTACGTGTTTGTGGACAGGGACACTTCTCACTTCTGGGTCACTGTGTCATCACTGCGCGATGACAGCTTTACAACAAAAACAGGTATGTGCAATATATAGCGAACAGGGGGCTTTTATGTTCGTCTTCTCTCTTACTGTATTGTTCTCAGTGAACATACTGCGATCTTGTGCAATTTACGATTGGCTTATGGGTGGAAAACGTTATTTTCAGGCATATTTGTGTGCATCAGGCTGGCGTTGAAATAGCGACCTCTAGCGGCTGCCGGCAGAATGTTTAGAACGGTTGACTCCGCTGCACCTGTGCAGGTGGGCGTAAACAGCGCGCATGCCTCAGAACCGCTGCAGCAGAGAAACAATTACTACAAGGGTAACAGCAACAGGACACAAACACACAGTTCTGTGTGCCTGTGTAGATGTGTGGACCAACAAGTTAGGCTAGATGGATTAACATTACTAGTGCTATCTTAACTTAGTGATTTTATGATATTCGGTTTGAAAGATTGAGCAGTAGTCAGTGACATCTTACCACCGCATAGTTTCGAAGTACCCATGCTTCAGTACCTAGCTTTTCAACAGACAGTTACAGCTTTTAGTGTAGTTCAATCAACTGAAGGGCCGACTACATGTAACTAAGTTACTAATATTAGAGCGGGTCGAAAACAACCACAATACAAGGGATAGAAGGGACCGCGAGGTAGTTGTTGTAATAGCACACATGAACTGTAGCCTATTGTCAGAGATTATGAACCGAAGACTACATGTCTATGCTTTAGTTTGTTTTTCTGTTTGTTTATTTTACCAAATGTGCACTCAGGTGAGTGACCTGTTATGTTTAGCACTGTAGTGCCAGGAGATGGGGAGGCAGTGTTTCATTTGAAAACCATGCGAACTCCTTCAATGAAAGCACCTTTCGGAATATAGATGTAACTAGCTCCATGTAATTAGCTGTGGTACAGTTTACATGTGTACATGATGGGATTGAAGGGAGGAGGGCCACTCTCCGCTCTCTGTGAGTTGACGTTTACCTGCTAAACATCACTAGATATTGACAAGTGAAGCGCCTTAGTCGCCTGTAATCCGTTTAAAAGGTCCGGTAATGGGTCGGAATGTGGCTCAGGCACGACCCCATAGGTACATATGTAGCTCAGGCACGACCCCATAGGTATCCGGGTGAATCATAAGTACACTTCACCCCGTGTACCTGTCACCGTTTATCCCATGTTCTCACCAAACCTCGGGCCCATATTTACACCCCGTGAGATTTCCACAATATCTCCCCTGATACGGATCTCTGATCGCCAGATAATGGCAGGAATTTCTGAGGAAGAAAAGGTTTTGTCTTCAGGTAAACAACAAGTCATCCCTCGCGTGTGGATAAACAAACAAGGCGTCAATGGCATTCCGCGAGGTTTCCGAATTTCGCCTGTATTTTGGGTTTTATACCCCGCCGCATCTGTACAATTTGCCCGTTGGTGGTCTCGGGTTATTTACGCCTGTTTTCCACGTAGCTATCCGTACGTCCAACCACAGGAACTATGGATGAAGTTGTGGCAACAGAGGTCCGAAAACTGCAGGTCAATCCACTAACACAAGATGGTGCTTCTGTAACGCTGGCCATTTACTACTACCTATCCCACAGTGGAGAGGTGGCTAGTTACTTAGTTTGGTTAGTTTCGCTCCACACACCTAACTTCCGCCCCTCCTATCAGCACTTCTAGGCTGTAACACGCATCGACGGTTTTATGTTATCCTATCTATCAACGCTTTTAGGCTGTGATAAAGATTTTCTTACACGCACCCATTGGGAAAGATAACGTTACGACCTCTCATTCTATCATCTGCTTGGTGAGTGGGAAAGCGGCAATATGACTGCCCCTGGCAGGCCCCTGGTAAAAAGTCAAGGAGGCAGAACAGATTAGAGAAGGGTGCCCTAATCATGCCCTATTCTTACTCCATAGGATTCCTTGTCTAATGTTTTCCAACTTATCCAGTGCAAGGTTAGCAAGAGTACATACAATTGGCGTTTGTGAAATGTGCGATACATTCATTTTAATAACCATTGATACACAGTAACCGTTATTTGTCTTCTTTCTCAATGGCGAGTGTTATACAGTGAAGAGATAAAAATGTCATAAAATGACAAAATGACATTACATGTTGTCTAGCGGTACTCTCTAGAAATGGTACATAAGCAATTGCGTGGAGCATAACCTGGCTTTCATGTGCCCAAATGCCCGTTGATAGTTTATCAGTTTCCTCAAACCTTCTAAATCTTCTAAATCAAGTTACGTTGACTTACCATACATCACAATAAGGCACTCTAGTTCCAAACAGAGTCCCACAACTAAACGATATATTGTTCTGAATATATGAATGTACAACATTCAACAAATTGTGTTCCACCTGTACAAGCAAAACTAAAAAAATACCGTCAAAGTTTCTAACCATTAGCCTCACCTTTCCAGGCTCGTCACACGTACAAGTGCTGAGTATCAAGAAAATTGTTCAGTTTGGCAATGCGAAACCATTCAACTAAAGATAGGTTGTGTCAATATAACAGAAACAACATGTCTATATTAGAATTTTTCTGAATTAGAAACACTCATATTTTCATTCAACATAAAGAAAAATATTGATTCATATTCTATTTCATGTATACTGTCATTACTATGTAAGAATGGGTTTACTTTGTAATAATGCCAAGGGAGGTAGGAGACATTACAAATGAATGTCATTTTCTAAGTCACAATGGGTCTGTCCTTGGTGCTGAAATGGATGTGAAACATTCAAAGCCTGCCTGTCCGTATACTAGTACTTTGTATACGTACGTATATTGTTACCTGGCACGCTGATATTGTCCCTCAGAAACCCTGTTCCTGTGGAAATGTGTCTAAATGAAATGTTTGGTCTATAAATTTTATTACCTTAACTTTGGTGTACTGGTGCCTATTCAACAGACATTCTACAAGCGTTCTAGGAGTCCTACATTGGAGCTTTATGAGTGTATAGGTTGAGCTGACCTCGCTACAATATATTGTCTGTACTTGCTTTTTTTAATCAACGAAAAGGGTTATCAGTCCCACATCTGCTGTATGATGTACATGTAGCTCCGGCTTCATTTGTAGATTTATCGCAGTGCTTATCATTATCAATATACAGTGAGTGTCCGGAGTCCATACCTTCTGCAGACTTGACCGCTGGTGACGCGTACAGGTTAGATGGCGCTGTTGTCGCTTGCATTTGGGCACAGTCTGGTACAGCCAAGTGTTCTTCTTTCAAACCTTGTTCAATAGAGTAGTTCTGGTTTGTTGTTTGAGCTGTAGTTTCCGTTCCATCAATGACTGAAAAAAGTTCGTCATCTAAATTTTCTCCATTGTTGTAGATGTGGTTTGTTTGCGTTGTAGTTTCTGTTCCATCCGTGACTGCCAAGAGTCCGTCATCCAAATTTTCTTCCTTGTGGTAGATGTGGTTTGTTGTTTGCGCTGTAGTTTGTGTTTCATCAGTGACTGAAAAATGTTCGTCATCATTGTGGTAGATGTGGTTTGTTGTTTGCGCTGTAGTTTCTGTTCCATCAGTGACAGAAAAATGTTCGTCATCTAAATTTTCTCCATTGTTGTAGATGTGGTTTATTTGCGCTGTAGTTTGTGTTTCATCAGTGACTGAAAAATGTTCGTCATCAATGTTGTAGATGTGGTTTATTTGCGCTGTAGTTTGTGTTTCATCAGTGACTGAAAAATGTTCGTCATCCAAATTTTCTCCATTGTTGTAGATGTGGTTTATTTGCGCTGTAGTTTGTGTTCCATCAGTGACTGAAAAATGTTCGTCATCTAAATTTTCTCCATTGTTGTAGATGTGGTTTGTTTGCGTTGTAGTTTCTGTTCCATCCGTGGTTGCCAAGAGTCCGTCATCCAAATTTTCTTCCTTGTGGTAGATGTGGTTTGTTTGCGCTGTAGTTTGTGTTTCATCAGTGACTGAAAAATGTTCGTCATCCAAATTTTCGTCATTGTAGTAGATGTGGTTTGTTGTTTCCGCTGTAGTTTGTGTTCCATCCGTGACTGCCCCATGTCCGCCGTCCACATCCTCTCCAGGGCTGTAGATGTGGTTTACTGTTAGCGGCGGATGATGATTGACAGGTCCAGTGGGAGTGTAGAGGTAAGCTGTGTTCACGTATAACCGTCCTCGCTGCTGTACAGGAGCGGGATGGCGGTCTGCGTCCGTACGGCAGTTACAGCACAGTTTGTACATTATCTTCAGTCCGACGAGGAAGAAGATAAAAGTCAGAGAAGTTCCTACCACAAGGATGTAGAGAACCGGAAAACCTTCATTTTCTTGTTGTTCAGGTGTATCCATGGCGTTAAAAGATGAAGTCATAATGGTTTGTGCAGAGCCTGTCGGGGTCATGGAAAGAGATGTTTCATTGCGATGTATTTGACTCCTAGTCCCCTCTGTAGGTGCTGATATAGCGGCAGGTTCTGTGGTAGACTGACATGCTCCAAAACCCGTAGGAGACTTGGCCGAAGCTGCAGATATAGAAACAGGATTTGCGGGAGACTGGTGTGCTGCACAGCTGACAGACACGTCTGACAACTTTAATTTCTCCAGTTCTCTGGGACTCTTGCAGACATAAGCTCTACCTTTCGGGCCTCTGGCGACAAAGCAGGCCGAACATGACGAACAACAGGTCCCCTTGTCTCCTGGCTGACAGTCCCGTAAACACGCCATCTTTTCAATCAGCCAGGAAAGCTCACAGTCACAGTGAAATGGGTTGTCGTTGACAATTACCTTGCTCACCTGCGGCCTCCCCAGCTCATACTCGGAAAACGACGCGAGTTTGTTGAAACGTAGGTCGACGTTTCTCAGGTGCGGGAGGTACCGAATAACGGTGTCCAGTCTTACGGTTCGAAGTCGGTTGTTCATGAGGGAAAGAGACCTCAGGTTTGGCAGAACACGTAGAGATATCCAGGAAAAGTATTCTATGCAGTTATGATTTAGGCCCAGCCTACGCAGCCGCGGGAGTGGCGGTATGTACGTGACATTTCGGATGTCACATTTATTGGACAAGATGGTCAAGCTCTCGGCGTTGGTCGGTATGTCAGCAGGAATAGTCGTACGGTTCATGTTGTAACAGTTAACCTGCGATGTCTTGAAGAACGATATCTGTAGTATACTGCACGAGGCGGGCAGACAAACACAACCTGACCACAGACGGGCCAAAGTAACGAACAAAAGCAGTCCACGTGCGTTCATGTTTTACCTGTTGTCATCAGCAATGGATAGATACCACGATGTCTCAAATCGGTAGACGGTCAGATTTGTTTTCTCGAGTTTCCTGTAGGGTTGTACAGCTTTGAGAAGAAAGCTGCTGTGCTACAGCTGTGGAACTGGAAGTCTCCTGTCCTTTGCAGATCCGTGACTTCGCCGTAACCTCATGCCTTATGTATCTTATACTGTGAAACATAATGTATGGTGACTACACGGACACCGTCACGTATTGTAATCACAGAAGCAATCTGGAGACTCCATGTTTAACCGTCTAATCGCACGGTCTTGAATAAGAGCAGGGAACAAAATTTGATTATGTCTGCCCTTGGCATTTTGGCGACACCTCAGAGGCTGGTTTGAAGGCTTGATTCACAGCAAATACGTGCAACTTAGAGTCGATTATACAATGAACCAAGGAAACAAAATAGAAAACAATTGTCCTCAGTTATGGTACGGAGCAACATATTCAGGCATCTCTTGATTCTTGGTACTTGGGCAATGTTTTCATCAGCAGACGCTCACTGTTTACGATATCTTTGTATAAACCCTTATGTATTGGTTCTATGTATTCTACATGGTAACAACTTGCCAGTCGACATCTCTTGTTCTCTGCTCTATTCTGCTATGATGGCTACAAAACCAGACATGACTGAATACAAACACGTTCTCGTGCCTGAGAGTTTATCTGAAAGAGCCTTGTTTTAGAACTCTACTGGGAATAAGATTGTTGAGTATACTACAGATTATTGGGGACAAGCAGAAGTCACTGAACACCCTCACGTAAGTTAATCTCACACCCAATCTGGAAACGTCATGTCTTAGAACTCTTTTCAGATTGATCCGAGGTAAATGCCTTGAGGAAGAACATGGATGATGATTTGATATGTCTGTCTCTCTGTTCGGGTATATCTCTCTTCTGTATCTGTTGACTGTACTTGTTCTTGATATATAAATGTTGAAAGAAAGACGGAAAGAAATATGTAGAGTTTTCAAGGAGTGATTTTGTCCTCAGCTTGTACGTGTAGTGTGGTCGGCAAATTAAACAATTATGTACTTGAAAGTCGTAGTATACTACGAAACAAGTAATGTTGTGACGGGATTTCATTTGCTAAAACCCGTCCCTGTCCTTGGTGCTGAACGTACAGTCTGCTTGTCTTCAATCTGTGAATCTGTCGCCAGGTGGCGTGACTACTCTATGAGTTACCATTAAACATGGAGTTGAATTGGCACAAGTTTTAAGTCTGTTAGCATCCCATTAGACAACGTTCAGTAAAAACTATTGGTGGATCAGCATCACAAGATTAGCCTTCAGAAACCTGGTACTGTGCAGAATGTAAAAGTGACCGATAGCGCACTGATGTTTTGAACACGTGTACATGTCGTACCACGTAATGACATAACAGAGACCTTTGCACTCTCGACGTCATAACCTGCGTACATCAAAGTATACAAAACACATGTCAAAATCTGTGTTTTTTATCCGTGTTGTTTGGTCCTAAAACTGCAGTTAGCCATTCTAAAAGATACTTCAGATACTGATATTCTTGCAACTCTCCTAACACCTATCATGGGCATGTATCAGTTAGCCTATGGGTGTGTTTCATAGATTACATAGCAAAAAATAGGCGTTCGATTGCATCTTGGTGTTCTTCCAAAGCTATCTCTGTGATGACGTATACGTGAATATAACAACAAGGCTGGGATGTTGGTTCTTTGTTTTTAAATCCGCAAACACTGTCCTGTAACAACACCGTTCTGGGTAACTGTCCAGTCTGACCAATAGGGAGAGTCCATGGAGTCACGCTATACTGATTTGCTATGAATACCCTTGAACAGCCTGTCCTAGCCACCCAGTAACACGTATAGTGAGAGGTTTCTACAGAAAGCAAGTTGACAGTTGTTTAAATTAGATGACTAACTGAACAGTACACTGCCTGTCGACATTCTTTAAGTTTCACTCTGCGGTAAGAAATCTTCTGAAGTCATTCATACAGGAGGAACTAATTAAGGTCTAAGGTAAGGTCATTCATACAAGAGCTAGAATTCCACGATATCCTACCTTCATAGATGTCACAAGTATGTCATCATTTCTCTCTAAGTTTATGTAGCCCCCTCATACCCTATGCAAATATAATTATCTTCATAATCTATGCATATTGATGCTATTTGAGGTACTGAAATCTAGATGTGAACGTTCATAAAGGTGGCGGGGACTGTGGTAGCCTATTGATGACAAGTGTGTAAGTGTGGTACAGTAGCAGTGTTTAGAAAGATCCTCCCTTGCCATTTGACCTACTAGTATTTGATCCATGTCTGTGGAACTTGGAGGGCAGGTAACTCTGGGCGTTACTGTAATTGAGAAAGGGCATGACCCTGTCATACCTACGTATGATTAATCATATTAATCATATGACTCATACCTGTAACAATGTCGCTTTGAACAATAATGTCGAAATAAATCTGATAAGAGTCACTCTCTAACGTACTAACTGTTTACCAAAACACAAAACAAATCCGCAAAAACACTGACTGGCCACTACAAGTGCTGTACATACCATTTTTTTAAACGCGAGGATATTGTAACGATTCAAGTGTTGCTGCCTTACGTGTGTAGCATGGGAAGTAGGTTGTTCTAGGGGGGCTGCACATTTACAGCAAGGTTGTTGATGCACGTGATAAGAGATAAACGTGACCAGGTTATTAACAACAAACTGAGGCAGTCTTATTCTTGGTGGACCTTTGCCAAAATACTACTTTTGAGTCTTTAAGATATTGAACAATAATCAGGAATTTGATCCAGACAATTAATACTAACGAACATGCAATGTTTTTCGTTTGCAAACACAGACATAGCCTAGGGGGAGAGCAGAGGTGACGTTCCATTAGTGTCATTATTGAACGTGACGAGTTCGACCAGAGTTGTCTCTGAGACTGTCGTCTGTTTTCTCTCTACAGGTGGGACACTTTCCTCACTACTAATAATCTATCTGGTCCCCGGGAAAGCTTAGCCTCTATAGCATGCAGACGTGGTTGCGGGCTTTTTTAGGGGGGAAGGTCAAGATGACACTAGCTTGTAGCTACAAATTCTTCCACTCAAATGTATCGCTTGAGGCCCACTGTAATAATATATACCTGGGTGTTTTCTGGTAGTATTGTTACCCCGGGCCAGAATGCACGCTGTGAACATAATTTACCTATTTATAAGTTTCCTGACCAAGGACGTTACGTAGATCAATCCGCAACGTCATCTTGAAGCAACGTGTGGCGTTATAATATGATATTAGTTACATGCTGGACCGTACATGCACTGGTGGCTGTCTATGTGTATAAACTGTTATGATAAGATGATAGACCATTGTACATGTATCGACAGGGGTTGACACGGTTTGTGTACTTGAATAACTGCATTGGTTTTTACTCTGAAGTTTAGGGATAGTTGTGTGGTCTGAAGATAGGATTTCTGACATCAATATCTCCGGAAATGGGAGGGAAGTTTTCCAAATGATGGATTTCAATACCAACACTGGAGGTGTGTTGGCTTTACCTGTTTTCATGTATCTGTAACGCGTGAGGGAGAATTGGTAATTTGTGACGTTCTTGCACTCTAACACTCAAATAATTTCATCAGGTTGGAAGATACTTAGGGTATAGAATTTTCTTCTTACACAACCATAGAGTTTCTCACCTGCTTACGTTTCGATGTCTATCAGACACCTTCCTCAGAGATTCTGACTGGAGTTCTGCAACTCGCCGCTATTTAACGCCAATGTAGGTGGCGCTTTTGCGGCGAGAATGCAATCCCAAACGTGGCTGAGCTTGTATCCCCCCTCGTCCCGGTTCATCACTGGGGTTGATTTCCTTATCCAGACTGCTTCTTTAATCCAACGGATTCTTCTGTTGTCCTCCCTATCTATGACCCTGGCACCCTCCCAGTCTATCACACAATTGTTTCTGGCAACATGGTAAGCAGGTGAGAAACTCTATGGTTGTGTAAGAAGAAAATTCTATACCCTAACCTAATTCAAATTGAACGACAGTCCACCTATAGCTACATGCCATTATATCGTAACGTAAAGTCATAGCATTCCGTGTATGTATGTGGTCGTACGGTAAAAACCTGCACGGTACTTTTTTACCCTAACCTAGTAGTATAAAAACTCTTATATTAACACTATAAAACCCAACTAAGACACAGCTTTACTACCTAATGGAAGTAAAGCTGTCGGTGGAC